AGATGGACAAGGCCACCCAGCTGCCCGGCCGCCCAGAAGTGGCTGCCCACCCGTCACCGTGGGCAGGAGACAGGCTGCCCCTCGCCTTCCTGACCCTCCCCCGCCCCCTCGGGCACCTGCCTTCCCGTCCCCCTGCTTCAGGAGATGCGGGAGTGATGACCAGTTACTGCTCGGTGCCGGCCCTGACCCGGGGAAAGAGCCGGAACCTCTCCAGGCCTCGGTTTCCCCGTGGGTAGGAAGTGCTGTGACCCCTCGGCACCCCCCCGCCTTCTCCGTGCAGGGGCCCTGTTCCCGGAGGGCTCGCTGCCCGCCGGCATAGGAGCCGATACTATGGCACCGGCTTTGAGAAAAGCAAAAGCTTTCATGTGCGAGTTCCGCGGGCCAGGAGGCAGGAGGCGGGCTCACACCTGCCTCCCGGACCCAGGCTCAGGGCGGGGCCTGGGGGTCCGGCTCCGGGGCTCCCTGCTCAGGGTCCTGCCTTCCTGTTGAGTGGGCTCTCGTGTGACTCGTGGTGGGTCCGCGTGTTCCTGGTAAATGGGCTCGCGTGTGACTCGTGGTGGATCTGCGAGTTCCTGGTGAGTGGGCTCACGTGTGACTCGTGGTGGGTCCGCGAGTTCCTGGTGAGTGGGCTTGGTGTGACTTGTGGTGGGCTCGCGTGTTCCTGGTGAGTGGGCTTGGTGTGACCGTGAGTGGCCACGCCTTGGTCGGGTTGGTATGAAGCGGGCGGGACAGCTGCGCCAGCCCCACGCGCAGTGGCTGGGGGTGGCTCTCAGAACCGAGGGCGGATTGGAGGAGCCGCAGTCCTGGCTGCCCCCCCACACTGTGCTCCCTCCACAGAGATCATCTTCCTCCGCGCCGTCATGCCCGCGCACCCCGCCAACCACGCCGACATCATCTTCGACATCACGGAGGGGAACCTGCGGGACTCCTTCGACATCGTCAAGCGCTACGTGGACGGCATGACCGTGGGTGAGTGGCCGAGACGTCCGGTCCTCCCGGCCTGCGTGCCACCCGGCGGGAAGCTTCTGGACCAGCCCAGCTGCCCGCTGAGGCCTCTTCCTAAGCCTGCTTCCACCCGTCCCTCAGGGCCCGGCTGGCACCCCAGCCCCAGCTGGTCCCGCACCCACAGGGCGCCCAGGTGGCAGGGCTCGCCTGGGGCTCGCCTCACTGTGGGCATCTCACAGCCGCGAATGTCAGGCAGATCACAGGTGAAGTGCTCGTCCCAGGCTCAGCACAGCCCCCCACTCCCTGTGAGCCGACATGATTTTATTCTCGGGGTGCAGTGCAGGGAGTGTCACTCGGGGAGTCAGGCCTGCGCTGTGGTCTCGCCTGGAGCTGGCTGGCCTTGCTGATGTCTGTGTGTCAGTCGGAGTGTGCGTCACGGAGCCCCCATATGCGCAGCCCTCTGATGGGGGTGCTGCTGGAGCCCCGTGGAGAGTCAGGACCATGGGCGCATGAAGGAGGCAGGGGAGGGGGACTGACGGGGAGGGGGACTGCAGGGGCAGGAGGTGGCAGCTGAGCGGAGTCTCGGGTGCAGAGGGAAGCTGTGTGAGTCCCCGTGTGAGCCTGGGAACCTGGCTCACAGTATCTCCCAAACTGTTCCGTTTTACAGAATTTAAGCTCCGGGCATGATAACGATCGGAGTTGCCATTTGGGCTTCGAATAGACTCTGAACATTTTCAAAGCAGCTGAGCAGACAAAGGCTAGGCCCTGTTCTCCCCTGGGCCTCAGTTTCCCCATTGTGGGTGGGGGAGGGGCGTGGGCTTCGTGGTCTCCAGGCCCTGGATTCCCTGGGCTGGACCAGAACCAGCCTCCCTGTGGCGGCCCGGCAGCGCGCTTTGGGACACGGCCGCCAGGTGGCGCTGTTGGACCTCAGACCCGGCTCCCGGAGCCCGGCCCACCGTGGTTAAACTGGCAGTTATGCCCGTTGCCAAAGGGCCATTTATAGCAACTTTACAAGCTCTTAAATGGGCTCTCGAGTTGTAAACACGACTGAGTCATGGGGGGGCTCCCCACCCCAGCCTCCTCCCCCGCCGGTTGGCAGCAGGCGTAATTAGTTAATTACAATTAATGCCCCATTAGCCCGCGGAGAGCCGGGGGAGGGGTACAGTGCCCTGTCAGCAGTCATCACCATGCTGCCCAGGAGGGAGCCGCTGCCCCTGCCTCAGGGTCCCCCATTGTTAAGGAAGAGACCCTGGAGGAGCCTTTAGGCACGTGGGGTGAGGACCGGCAGGAGGAAACAGGGTCGGGGTCTGTGCCGCCTGCGCAGCTGTGCT